CCTGGTGGCTCTGGCTCAGTTTCCAGGGCACAGAGGATTGGCCCATCTGTTTTGGGAAAACATTGATAGAGCTGTTTTGTAGGCTATCACTTGGTTTTTGTAGCGTTTCTACTTCCAATAAGGATGGCAGAATTCATTTCGGAGCAGATGCTATCTGTGCTCTGTCCACCAATCTATAACGAATGTGATTGTGTTGGGTGCTAGAGGGTCTGGAAGGTCAATGCCTGAAGGACTAACTGTGACTTATAACATACCCCATCTGCACTGAGACTCCGTCAGGTTTCTTCAAAATTGTACTCTTGAAAGGTGGGGGAAGTCTGCCTGTCCATCAAAAGGGCACTGGGCCTTTGCCAAAGATAAGGAAGATGTATTTTAAAATTAAGCAGCTGCTTTTTATCCCAGGGAACTTTTTGGAGAGTTTTTAAATGAAGTTTACATAGCGTAATAGAAAGCTACCCTGTCACTATTTGGGGAGATAAGCTGCTGTTCACTGAACTCCTCCAGGTACTAGCCCTTGTAGGCAACAAACAGTGAATACTAATGAGAATAACACAAGTGCTTCCTTATCCCAGCAGAGGATCTTGCTTCCTTAAGTTAAATCACTCATTTCCAAACTTCCCCTGGTCTCTCAGTTCATTGCGATCTCTTTTTGTGGCTATTTTTGTGGCCCCTCGGTATTCTTTGAAATTACAAAGGATACTGAGGGGCCACATACATCTGCATCTGTTCTGCAGCTGGCATTTGTCTCTTCTGCTGATTTGTAGTGTTTGTAATTCTTGCTATCTGAATGTAGTCCCAAATTTTTTCATCTTGTTTTAAATTATTTTTTTTCTGCAGATGATGATAACATTCTCCTATGGTGTCTATTCTATTTGGTTTTTCTTCCCTGGGGTGACTTAGTATGCAGCAGGTATTGGATTCTAGGTTATTTCCAGAGACTAGAAGCAAAGAGATTTTCCTCTTTGATATCCTTTATTCATTGTTTCAAAGTTGTAAAGGGACTGTTTTGGCAGACTTTTTTTGATTGAGATAAAGGTTATTCTACCAAATCAATATCAAATCTGTCAGATTTGAAGCAGACGGGTTCTTGAAAATTCAATACTGAGAAAGTTTTAACTTTGAGCAAAGGATTTCTCACCCCAGAATTATAACAAGGAATGACAAATGGACACTTCTATTCCCTGATTATCTTCATGGTAATAACTTTTTAAAGATGTTTACTTATAGAAAGTAGCTGTTGTTCTTTTGATGGCTTGTAGGGAAAGTGCATTTATTAATGTTTTATTTCATATTCCCACATGTTCTATTGCTATTCTCTTTCTGATGGCCTTGGAGAAGACTTGATGTGGTATCTACCTGTTTGCTTTACCTGAGGCCAGAAAATGAAAGTTAGCCCCATGCAAAGGGGGTTTCTTTCTCTGCTTGACTTTAATTGAACACAGACCATCCTTGAGGCATTTCAGGTTGGAAAAGGCTGCCAGGATGCACATGTATTTACAGGTATCTGGATGACACTACCTCTGTGCACAGTGTCATAGAACCTGGGGATTGAGGTTTGGTTGCAAACATCTTAACATTTCTGGCATCAGAATCTCAGGCTGGCTTGCAAATGTTGCGTGTCCTATCATTTTGTTTTCCCCAAGCCACCCCCTTCAAAGTACATCTTGCATAATATTATTAGCCTTTTTGGGCCAAAGCAATTTGGGCATTGTTCAGGGCCTGTCAGGTCCTTTCAATTAGGAGCAACAGTTGATGATAGACTCTTTTCCATTTACAGAAAAAAAAAATGTCCAGAATTCTGTTTTCTTGCCCATGGGAACTGGTTTCCTCCGGGGCTGCTGTCCTTTCAGCCAGCACTCAAGCTGAAAAAGCACTTTTTAGGTTCTCCGTTCCGTGCCTCCAGCCGGTCCACGCTGACTGGTGGCTACTTACATGCGTCTCTTTTCTCCTTTTTTCTGACTTTCTCCTGTTCTAGCCCCTTGCATCCCACCATTGACCAGCCCTTTATTGCCAGGCTCAAACTCAGGTGTTCCAGGTTTATGGGCAGAGGCTTGGGCTGAAGCACCACCATGCAGCTGGCTGGGTGCTGGGCCCAGGCTGGCCTGGGTTCTCCTGTGAAACTCTAGTGGGAGACTGTGACCAAAGGGAACCAATGGAAGCCACAAGCCCTTGATGGGAGAGCTATAGAAACCTCCCCACTTCCCTGGAGCCTTGTCTTGGCAACAGCATCTGTAGCCTTGCTATTTGGGAACCTCCTGCCGCTTCTGTCTCACTCTGCTTTGGATGCTCCTGCTCTGCCTCATGTTTACTCCAGCCCTGTTCCTGTGTTGCTCCAGCCTTTGACCCCTGTACCTTGCTTCTGTCTTGCCCCTTGCCTTGGACCCCATTGTCTCATACCTGCTTATCACATGGCTTGTTTTGAACTTTTGGCTCCTGACTTCTGGCTGCACCTTGACTACAGACCTGTCGTCCGTTGGCCTGATGCCTTGGAGTTGCACAGAGATATAGCATTTTGACACTTGGCTTTGGCTCTTGGATTTCTGGGAGTTTCCGAACCCCCATCTGCCACACCTGGGTCATACCTGTGACATCCACCCACATGGTCCAAGATTTTTGAGTGTCTTCATGTGCCTCTTCCTTTTGACTTGAGAAAATGCTTGTCTTTTGGTTTGATACCTGTTATTTCCTTACGATGATCCCACAAGAAGAGTGGCTGTTGTACTCACTAAATTCAAGATCCCACAGTATTATGAATGATAACACTATCTCTAAACCAGGGGTTGTCAACACGACAAGGCTCCAGGAGGTATGTGTGGGCAGGTGGGGATGGAGCACTGCCACGCATAATCCTGCGGTGCCGTTCAGGTGCTGCCTGTCCAGCTGGATGCAGGGGGCAGGGGAAGCTTGCAGGCAGTGGTTGCTGCTTCTCCATGTCTGGCTGCATGCCACACCCCCCCCCCCC